GATGGAGGATTTGGAGTGCGTTTTCCTTGAAAGTGTAGGATTTCCAAATCTTAGGATGTAAATAAGTAGTTGGCGGTGCTGGAGTAAGGGGGGGAAGGAACACAAAAAAGGATAAAAATAAACTTGCAGACAATGCAAGTAGACCAAGTAGCTGCAACTGCTACTTGATAACTGGAGGTTTTGAACCCGGCTTTGACCTCCGAAGGGGTCATGCCTACTGTAGAAACTTAGAACACCATTCATCAGGTATGGGCCGATCGCCAGATGGTGGTATGCAAAAGAGATGGCCTCTAGGGAGAAGTATAGGCATGTCAAAGCGTAAAGTATGACATTATGGTGGTTACGTTGCCTCCATAGGTAAAATGGAGGCGGATGTCGTTTCCCTGCGCATCCCGCGGGTAGGATGTTCCATACTTTGAGTAAGTCCAGGCCAGCCTCCAGGGATTTTAATTGTGTGTATCCTTCCCTGATGTCTTACTGTTAGCTTTGTGGGGAAACCCCACTGGTACGCTATGCCATGATTTCTCAAGGCTTTGGTAATGGAAATCATTTTTTTCCTGTTGAGAAGTGTGGCTTTGGATAGGTCCGCGTACAATCGGAGATTTGCGTGTGATGGTGGGAAGCGGGGGTGGATTCCTAGCAGCCGTCATAATTTTTTCTTTAATATGGTAAAAATGGATACGGGCCAATACATCTCTTGGAATAGATGCTGACAGAAATGAGGGTTTTTGGTAGCCGGTGGGCTCGATCTATCGCCATCTCCAGATTAGGAAGTGATGGGATAAGAAGTCGGATATACTGCTGTATATACAGGGCAATAGCGCCTCGCCTGTGATTGATTCAGGGATCCCTCTGAATTTGATGTTGTTGCGACGCGAACGATCTTCCAGGTCAGCTAGTTTTAAATTAATATGTTCGAGGTCAGATGAGTGGTCCGCATGAGCATCGATCAAATCATTATGTGCTGATATTACATCCCCCATATTAAGTTCGATATGTCGTATTCTGCGTTCTTGTGTTTGTACCGCATTAGTAATTTGGTTTAGCGATACCGAGATGTCATTATGTAAGGTTTTGCCGCAAAAGGGTCAGCATATTTTTCATGGAAATTTCCCGTCAGCGGCTGGTCCTGACGCAGGGAAGGAATCTATGTCAGGCAGTATCGTGGTGGTTGACTGAGGCGGGAAGTTTTGGGCCTGAAATGCGGGGTCAGGGTCTTGGTCAAGTCGTGGCCGAGATTTGGCTGGGCTACTGGTCGTGGGGGATAATGGAGGTGACAACTCACCATGATCCCCTGGATAAAGTGGATGCCTCAGCCTGGCGTCTGCTTGCTGGCCATGTAGTCCCCCTCGGGTCTCCTGCCTTCTCCCTGGGTGCTGCAGCCGTCGCCATCTTGGATTCCCGGATTGAGCGCCGGGAAGAATAAAGTGAGTTTCCCCCGGCTTCTCCGGGGTTTTTCTTCCTGCGGGGCATAGTCGGGAGAGGTGCGGGCACCCTCAGGTAAGGTCACTGTGGGGTTGGTTACTCCCTGGGCCGGTGTGTGCCGTTCTGATGCTGGCGGGGTGGACGGAGCGCTCACAGCTTTAGCGTCCATCCGTGAGCCGGCCGCGCATGCGCCCCTAGTTATATTTTTTAAATGCTTGTGTAAAGCAAATGTTTTGTGTAAATGGTGGTGTATTACGTTTTACTAACCATTTTTGGGGATAAGGCAAATGTGTCCTTTGTTAAATGTTTTGGGCTAACCTCTTCTCAGACACTTAGAAGGTACATCCTTATGACATCATATACTTTGGGAATGAGGAATCATGATGAAGTGAGAAGTGGAATTTGCGCTCTCTCTGGAGGTAAAATTTGAACGTGCCTTCCTTCAGGGGGTAAAATGTGGGATTTGCCTCTTCTCAGAAGAAGGGACGTGAAATTTGCCTTCTCTCTGGAGGTAAAAATGTGGAATTTGCCTTCTCTCTGGAGGTAAAATGTGGAATTTGCCTTCTCTCGGCAGGGTGACTACAGATACAGTGTTGCACTTTGATCACAGGGGTAGGAGACTTTGGCCCCTATCATTGGGGGCATTCTGATCAGATCCACCTGCCAGTTTTTCAGGTGGACCTAATCGGAGGCTCCATGCAGCCCCTTGGACAGTCAGATTTAAATGGACTTGTGCCTGTTTCCATCTGACTAACTACGAGTCTGTGTAGGTCTGGAAATATTAAATGAAAATAGACATTTTTTTTGGACCTATATATGATAAATTGGAGGTAGCCTGATGTAAACAATGGAGTCCATTTACAGGTGAAACTCGAAAAATTAGAATATCGTGCAAAAGTTCATTTATTTCAGTAATGCAACTTAATAAGGTGAAACTAATATATGAGATAGACTCATTACATGCAAAGCAAGATAGTTCAAGCCATGATTTGTCATAATTGTGATGATTATGGCTTACAGCTCATGAAAACCCCAAATCCACAATCTCAGAAAATTAGAATATTACATGCAATCAATAAAACAAAGATTGTACATAGAACAATATCGGACCTCTGAAAAGTATAAGCATGCATATGTACTCAGTACTTGGTTTGGGTCCCTTTTGCAGCAATTACTGCCTCAATGCGGCGTGGCATGAAAGTTATCAGCCTGTGGCACTGCTGAGGTGTTATGGAAGACCAGGATGCTTCAATAGTGGCCTTCAGCTCTTCTGCATTGTTCAGTCTCATGTCTCTCATCTTTCTCTTGGCAATGCCCCATAGATTCTCTATGGGGTTCAGGTCAGGCGAGTTTGCTGGCCAATCAAGCACAGTAATTCCACGGTCATTGAACCAGGTTTTTGGTGCTTTTGGCAGTGTGGGCAGGTGCCAAGTCCTGCTGGAAAATGAAGTCAGCATCCCCATAAAGCTTGTCTGTGGAAAGAAGCATGGAGTGCTCCAAAATCTCCTGGTAGACAGCTGCGTTGACCCTGGAGTGGACCAACTCAGCAGATGACATGGCTCCCCAAATCAACACAGACTGTGAAAACTTCTCACTGGACTTCAAACATCTTGCAGTGTGTGCCTCTCCGTTCTTCCTCCATACTCGGGGTCCTTGGTTTCCAAATGAGATGCAAAAGTTGCTCTCATCAGAAAAGAGGACTTTGGACCACTGAGCAACAGACCAGGTCTGTTTTTCTTTTTAGCCCAGGTAAGACGCTTCTGACGTTGTTTGTTGTTCAGGAGCAGCTTGACAAGAGGAATACGACATTTGAAGCCCATGTCCAGGATCCGTCTGTGTGTGGTGGCTCTTGATGCACTGACTCCAGCCTCAGTCCACACCTTGTGAAAGTCCCCGACACTTTTGAATGGCGTTTTCCTGACAATCCTCTCCAGGCTGCGGTCATCCCTGCTGCTTGTGCACCTTCTTCTTCCACACTTTTCCCTTCCACATAACTTTCTATTAATGTGCTTTGATACAGCACTTTGGGAACATCCAACTTCTTTTGCAATTACCTTTTGAGGCTTTCCCTCCTTATGGAGGGTGTCAATGATGGTTTTTCTGCACAACTGTCAGGTCAGCAGTCTTTCCCATGATTGTGATTCCTACTGAACCAGACTGAGAGACCATTTAAAGGCTCAGGAACCCTTTGCAGGTGTTATGGCTTAATTAGCTGATTAGAGTGGGACACTATGAGCCGAGAATATTGCATCTTTTCACAATATTCTAATTTTCTGAGATCGTGTATTTGGGGTTTTCATGAGCTTTAAGCCATAATCATCACAATTATGACAAATCATGGATTGAACTATCTTGCTTTGCATGTAATGAGTCTATTTCATATATTAGTTTCATTATTTCAGTCGCATTACTGAAATAAATGAACTTTTGCATGATATTCAAATTTTTTGACATTCACCTGTATATGCAGCTGCTCGTAGAGCTTTCACAGGTCCACCCAGAGGCAGACTGACAACTCATGGGGCCCCTGGGCAATAAGGGATCATGGGGCCCCTGTGCCCTTGCCCAAACTCAAAAAAGCCTATGAAAAAGGTACCAGGGGCATCTCATGGGGCCCCCTACTGACCCCGAGTGCCCGAGTTTCCAAATGGTCAGTCCGCCCCTGGGTCCACCTGTACCCCGGGCACAATCTGAATGGACATGTATGTAAAAAAACTGACATCCGTCCCGTTTAGCTCCAATTCAGCAGAGAATCTGCTGATCAGAGAAGACTCTGCTCCATGTGAAAGGAGTCTTCCTCTTGCATTATCTCGGTCTAGACATGTTACTTGCCTGGAGATGAAAACTGCCTTTTTAAAATAAAGGGAAAGCTTTCTTTAAAAAATAAAAACTCTTAACTCTGGTGACATGTAAGGAATTTGCTTATGCTGAGAAGTAGAGCTATGAAAAATTCACTTTAATTCTGCTTGCACCATCTAATCCCCAGGTCAATAGCTGCTGTTCCTCTCAAATCACCTTCTCTCAAATGTCTCTGGAATTGAATGCTGACAGCTGCGAGACAACAGTCACAGGTAGTCTACCACTGTCATTAATTATTTTGGCACAATTTGCACACAGCTAATTAATTTACAGTAAGTGGAGACAAATCATGGAAATAAGGGAGCAATGATCAATAATTCAATGGGGTTAGATGGTATCGAGGAGTAGCAGGCCGTTGTAGAAGATATCTGAAGAAGATGTATTTTGGCACTTGTCAGGAAGGTAATATTTTTATCTAGGTTACTGATGACTGACATACTCTTTGCACTTGCCAAGGAACACTTAGAAATAAAACACCTCAGGTGCTTCACATCTAAACAAATCTGCTTCTATCTCTCTGATGAATTGCTGACTAAATTAATGGCATTTTTACCAATATGTCTGTCACAGGATCCATTTTAGGGTGGACGAGGTCTGAATGACAGATAGATGGACAGAGGTTTTTTTTTCAGTGAGCTGAGCAAATTTTTTTTCATCACTAATTTAATATAACAGCAATGTGAAAAGGACAATTGTAGCATCTTAAAGTTTCAGCACCAAAAGCAGTAAACCCGAGCTACACTCGGGAACATTCTGCAGCATTGCTCCGGGATCCCTTCTGCACATACCTTGTCCTTCGCTCCGCAATGTCCCCCCTGCAGCATCCCCGGCATCCGTCTTCCGGTTTATGCTCCCTGCAAGCGTCGGGACGTATGGGGGACAAAACAGGCGGGAAATTTAAAAATGTTAAAAAGTGACATTCACTCAATACACTAAAATCACATAGTAAAACCATTTCACATACATTTTGTCCCGAGTGCTTTGTCCTGTGCCCTGCCTGCATTTTTACTGTTCTTTCTGCCTGGAAACTGAGAAATGTCCATGGCGTCCAAAAAGCATCCCTTTATGTGAAAAGCAGTTTTAGACCAGCTAGAGAACAGCGATAGTAAATTAGAACCACTTGCAGAATTGAGTGATAATGATTCGTGGGGAAATTCGTCATCAGACACTGAAAATTATTTTGCGACTAAGATCAGTGATGTGCGAGCTTGGCGCTATATTTCAAATTTCAGCGTTTTTGGTTTGATTATATTATTGAATTAAATGTATTATTATTATATTATTATTTTTTATAATTATTTATTAAATTATAATTTATGATTTCGTGTTTTCAAATTTTAACCTACCTGGGTTGTTTACTAGACTCTTGTTCGGACAGATTTCAGTGAGTTATTCCTAAAAATTACAGGCCTACAATAAAAAAATGACATATTTCCATGCAAAAAAGTGTACCGCTTTGAGAACAGAAATATGGACATAATCAGACCGCTAGGGAGGTTAAAGCCCAAATAAACTCTTCTTTGAAATCAGCTGACTACTAGACATGTGCATGCAGGACATTTTAATTTCGTTTCATTTTGGATGCATTCAGTTATTGAACAATTTTGTTTTGTCGTGTTTGTTATGTTGACCCAATTTGTTTTTGGAATTAGTTTCGTACCCTTTTAACTTGTTTTGAATATTCAGTAGTCCAGGTGGACTACAAAACTTACCAGTTTTTCTGGAAGACTGCTATATATTTGCTATAATATTGAATCGGACAGATTTGAATCGGAAGGATTCAATATTTTTGAATGCTAGTCCAACCCACCATGAGAAATGGCATGAGCCGATTGGACAATATCGACTGGTGTCATGTGCATCCAAATTAACGAATGGAACAAGATTTGGATCCATTTGTTCTCCAAATCCGAATTAATAAACAAATTCAAAAATTTAATTCATTTCCACTTGGGCCCAAACTACTATCGCGTCACATGACATCACCCGAATGAAATTAATTATTTTGTTAATTTCGTTATGACTAGACATTTGTTGCTGTGTCCATTTGGAGATCTGTATACATCTGAATCTCTGAAATGTAAATGTTTGCCCCCCCCCCTCCCAAATAAAAAATAGAAATGCATATGTCTACTACTGAATACATCCCTTGTGCCAACCACAGAGTAAAAAAAGCCCATCCACTGCCATAATGCTGCAGAGAAGGACACTTATTCTCTGCGGTCAAGCAGTGGTCTATCTGCAGAGATCCAACACACCCCCTGATGAGTCAGAGCCAGAACTCTCCAATTAGCAGAGAGCATGAGCTTTGTTGATCAAAGTGCTAGGTCTATAGGTTTTACAGTGTAGGATAAGGAAGGAATGATGGGGGGGGGGAATTAAAGCTGGTAGACCACTGCTTTCACAATAAGAACAAGGACCTTATTTTTCAGGTTATAGACTTGACTACTGAGAAAGAAGATGAACTATTTGCATACTTTTTGAATCTATTTATCCAATTTAATGTTTAATTGTGCCTAAAGAATAACTTCTGTGTCTTTGTTAACCTCCCTGGTGGTATGATTATTTCAGATTTTTTGTGCTGAAAGCGATACCATTTTTTTGCATGGAAATATGTATTTTTTTTATTGTAGGCCTGTAATTTAGGAATAACTCACTGAAATCTGTCCAAACAAGAGTCTAGTAAACATTCTGGATATGGTAAAACTTGAAACACAAAATCATAAATTATAATTTAATAAATAATCATAAAAAATAATAATATAATAATACATTTAATTCAATACTATAATCAAACCAAAAACACTGAAATTTGAAATATAGTGCCAAGTTCGCACATCACTGAGCAAAGTCGCAAAATCATTTTCAGTGTCTGATGACGAATTTCCCCACGAATCATTATCACTCAATTCTGCAAGTGGTTCTGATTTACTATCGCTGTTCTCTAGCTGGTCTAAAACCGCTTTTGACATAAAGGGACGCTTTTTGGAAGCCATGGACTTTTCTAAGTTTCCAGGCAGAAAGAACAGTCAAAATGCAGGCAGGGACAGGACAAAGCAGTAGGGACAAAATGTATGTGAAATGTTTTGAAACAGCAATGTTTTACTATGTAATAATCATTTTAAAAAAAAATTCAAATTTGCCGCCGGTTCCGGCGCCCGTACGTCCCGACGTCACAGGGACCGGAACACGGAAGCCGGATGTCGGCATCGGCCGGAGAAGATGGCCAGGGACGCTGCAGGGGACGCATCGTGGGAGCGAAGGACAAGGTAAGTGCTGCAGGGACTCCCTATGCAACGCTGCATGGTAAGCCCGAGTGTAGCTCGGGGATACCGCTTTTGGTACTGAAACTTTACCCCGAGCTACACTCGGGAATACCGCTAGGGAGTTTAAGGAAGAAGAATTTCCCATACTTAACCTGTTCCCGGGGCTGTATGCAGCTGCTGGGCTGTTGGGCTTCAACGCTGAGCGGTCACATGTATGTATCCATAGTGGATGGTTTTCTGTGCTGAGAGTGCGCTCACTGCTCGTTCACAGCACAGTAAATAAAATGGCATGGGAAGCTCCCAGTGTATATTTGCAGGCCAGAGATTTCGATCATAAGACTTCTGTGACAGCATATCACAGTGGTTGCATGATCGGAATACTCGCCTCCACCTCCTGGCATTTAGATTCTCTAAAAGGACCTGTGGTTGGTGGCAGAAAGGGGACATGGTGGACATACACATAGCACTTTATGATCAATTTAGATGCAAGCAATTGGAAAATAGTGCTCTATTTTCTATCAGCTATTTGTGCAAATATTGATTGAAAATACAGTCTATCAGCTATAAATGTAAACAATCTAAAAAAAAGTCACTTATGTAGCTCTTACCCTAGAAGGAGCTGCTGATGTATGGGTCCCTTGTCCCTGGTGATAACAACCCTCAGACAGTTCCACACCCTCTGACAAACCAAGGCTGTTTATTCGGGCAGCACACCCAGCAGAAAGACAATATTAACAAACACTAACAAATAAAGGTAAATAACAATCGCACCATTAACACAGTTTGCAAAGAAGATATTATCAAAACCATGTGTACAGGGTAGCTGAAACCGGGGTCAGGTTCAAAGTCTGTTCCCCCTAGCCATTGACTTATGGGCGACCCTTATTTATAGGATATACAAACACAAGGGGCTCTAAGTCACAGCCTTCCTTATCGCCCTCCCAATGGCCAGTGGTAAACCTGACGGTGGCCAGCTTTGGGGCCTAAGATTATGTTGTAGAGCAAAGTTAACCATTAGCCGCCCGGCCAATGGCCGTTTGGCGGCTTGAAAAGCGCTGCAGCTTTCCGGGTGCACGCCATTTGGCGTGCTCCCGCACATGCGCGGTTTGCGCGGTTGCAGAGCGACGCAGCAGTGCAATCTGTCACCGCCCGTGCACCTCGGACACGGCCGATGACAGATCCGAGTACCGGCTCCCGTTGCCGGTACCATGTGACCTGCTGTGACCAATCACAGCAGGTCACATGACAGTTGTATACAATGGATGGCTTCATTCATGATGCCATCCATTGTATACTAGTGCCTAGCTGTGAATGGTCACAGCTAATCACATGCACATGTCATGTGATTAGCTGTGACCAAATCACAGCTAAGCACAAAAAAAAAAAAAAAAAAAAAAAAAGCTGAATGAATCGATTTCATTCAGGTAAATGCTTGCTTATAGCAAAGTAATTCTTTGCTATAAGCAAATTGTGTAAAAAAAAAAAAAATAAAAATACTGATCACTTCCCCAAAGTAGTACAGTGTTACTATGGTAACATTGTACTACTTTGGTCATAGTAAAATATGAAAAAAAAATCTTAAAAAAAATAAAAAAAAATGTAATAAAAAATTAAATATAATAAAAAAAAATATATATATATTTTTTTCATACTGTCACCAGTCAGTGTCGCTGTTCACCGCCATGCCAGTTATATGATGACGCTGTACTGCACTGGTGACAGTATGTAAAAAAAAAAATTGTAAAAATAATTTTTTTTAATTTTTTTCATTTTCCGAAAAATTATGACAAAAAAATACAACTTCAAAAAACTCGCCATGCCTCTTATGAAGTACGTCGGACTGTCTACTCTGCAAAAAGGGGTCATTTGGGGGATATCTGTACTGTTCTGACATTCTTGGACCTCAAGATATTAGATTGGCTGTCAGTACTTCAGGATTGATCAATATTCAGATCTATACCATAGTTTGTGAACTCTATAACTTTCCTACAAACTAAAAAATACATCCTAATTTGGGTTATTTTCACCAAAGACATGTAGCAGAATACATCTCGGCCTAAATTTATGAAGAACAATTATTTAATTGTAAACTTTTATAACAGAAACAAAGAAAAATGTGTTTTTTTTTTCAAAATTTTTGGTCTTTTTTTGTTAATTTAGCAAAAAATAAATACCCCAGCGGTGATTAAATACCACCAAAAGAAAGCTCTAGTTGTGTGAAGAAAATGATCGAATTTTAGTTTGGGTACAATGTTGTATGACCGCGCAATTGTCATTCAAAGTGTGAGAGCACTGAAACCTGAAAACTGGCCTGGGCAGGAAGGTGTAAAATTGCACGGTATTGAAACGGTTAATAGGAAACATTTCCTCCCTCTTGGATACACTAGCAGGCTAACTCTTGCGGTCTCTGAGGGCATTGGCAGCAGCTTTTAACCCTGTAGCAGTGACCCTGAAGAAAGTTTAGAATGCTCTGGGTACAGATGTTCTCTGCCTTAAGTGATCTGAATTCCAAATGGTTCTCCAACACATACAGATATTTGGGTTTTTACTGCTTTTTTCCTATTAGGGAGATGTGGACTCTGACAGTGGCACAGTGCTGAACTCTTCTCATGCAAATGCTGGTCAAATGACTTGAAGTGCAACCAAAAGTAAAAATACTTATCTTAGTGCCAAAGGTGAAACACCTGTGAGGGTCCTTGATCCTTGGTGCTTGTGTTGGCATCATCTCTCCAGCTTCTTCTAGGTGAGCGTCTT